TTTGTCTCCCTCTCGATCGGCTCATGTTTTTTATTATTTCCTGTGCTCACACTATTATTTGTTAGCAAAACGTTTCCTAAGAAACAATGCAAACTTAAATTTGTGAGCTGGTGGGGACCCAGGGAATAAGGTTATATTTTATCAAAATGCTGGACTAATCTCAATTACTGATCTGAGTGAGGTGTATCATCTCCTTTCTGCTCCTTCCCAAAGAGTTTGACACTTCTCTCATCCCTCCTAGAGATGGCCTCCACCATCAGTCTCAGTGTCTTGATAGAAACATGGGTTCTTCTTTTAAGTATCCAGGCAGCCCAATATTTCAATGTATTCACTATCTGAATTCTAGCCACTGGTAAATTCATTTAAAATTAGCTTTTGGTTTTTTATATTTAGGTAGCTACCATTATTCTCAACTAGTTAAGATTATGATTTGATTGATGAATTAATTTATTAAATGCTGAAGCTTTAGCTTCAAATGAATGGCTGTCCCAACTTCTCTAAAAATAGTACTTTGCAATCTGTTAATGAAAAGATAACTCACCGAAATAAATCCTTGATCCTATTAGGTCATTTGAAGCCATAAAACTTTTTCAGTATGGGTTCAAATTGCTCCTACAGAAATACAAGAAGCAACTCAATGCAGTAGTGCTATAATAATGTAACCACCAAATCTTAAAATTTTCATAATAATGGAGCTGGGTGTGGGGGCTGTGTGTAAAATTGGTGTATACCGGTACAGATTTTTAGCAAGTTTAAAGTGTAATTACAGTAATGGATTCAGTAAAATGGCTTCCTCTTTGTAAAGGAGTTCAATGATATGGCTGTAATTTCCATACTAAAGTGCCAATTCTATTCTTAAGTTCTCATTACATTTTTTTGCCAACTCTTGATCATTTTTTTTACCCATATCCAGTTTATTAATATAATTATCCATCATTATATATGTCATATCCATGTTCATGTCAGTATTTCAACCCAATCGCTTTATTTAAAGAAACTAACAAAAATTCAGATGCGAAATTACAAAGACACCTAACAGCAGAGCTGAAAGCATGTGAACAAAGAGGTACAACAACAGCAAAATGCCAGTGAGAGGAAAAACAGATACTTCTCAGAATGGCAAAAGGTGTCTCAGACAGAAGAAAAGTATTAAACCAAATTTTTTAAGTGCAAGCATAAATGATTTTGAAGACAGCAGAGACTGATATTGATTTTCAGTTGTCAAAATATTGGCAAGTGAAATTTATTTATGCATAATAAGGAAATGTTTCATGCTGAAAACATTCTGGGTCCATACTGATTAAATTTCGTGCTTTGAAGTTGCATTGTCCAATATGGTAGCCACGAACCACATGTGGCTACTTAAATTAATTAAAATTAAATAAGAATAAAAATTCAGTTCCTCATTGGCACTGCCCACATTTTAAGTCCTCAGAGCCACAGAAGACACTAGTATGCATTGCACACACAGAAATAGAACACTTCCATCATGCCAGAAAGTTCTGTTGAACAACATTGTAATTCATCATGTGAAGGGTCATAATGAAACTTCATCAATATTATTCATCCAGAAGTTTACCATAACTACTTTTTTTATTATCCAAGCCATGACTTACTTCCAGAGGCAAGTCATACAACTAGATAAAACAAGGGTCAAATTCTTTAGTGCTTCCCACCCCCAACCAAGAAAGACTTCTTGGGATATTGTTATCTACCAGAACCTGAGAAATGCAATAGCTTCTTGTGAAAACTATACGGGCAGCAACTTTTGACATAGTATAACATTTCAGGTGCTGAATCACTAGGCATAATTTTACTCTTTCCATGATTGAGCAGAACAGCTGAGAAAAATAGAGGATTTTATCCACTTTATGTAATAGTGTAACCAGCAGCATGCCCAGACAGAAGTAATCTTATAATGGGTTTGGTAGGCATTTCTTTAACATGTTGGGGTGGGGAAAATAACCTTTATTGTAGCTCTTTAAGGTTCTGAATTGTAAAAATGTCTCTACTGTAATAATACAAGCATTTCTTTATCTTCATTTTGAAATCTTAAAAATAGCGTTCTTTCCAGAACTGCCTCAGGAACGTAATAATAATAAAACAGATAAAAATCATTATATATTTATTCTGGAACATAAGACATAGAAAATTATTGGGTGAGATCCAAATTCTTTTATAAGCTAAACGTAGCTCTAACACTATAATCCAATAAAGATATGACACACACTCCAAAATTTACAGACAAACCTTACTTATGAATATTAGGTACAAAAACCTGACACTATAAGGAAACATTAATAAAATAACCATATAAGTTGATTGAATAAGAAAAAGCATATGATCCTCTCAGTAGATGCTGAAAGGCCACTGGATGAAATTCAATACCCACTTATATTCTTAATAAAAACACACTATTATATAAACTTAAAATAAACATCAGTATCTTTTCCAAATAACTCAATTATACATAGTTAAGCTATATTATTTATCATTGCTATTAATTTTTTTATGTTTTTATGTCATTTTTAACCAATATAATGACACATGAAATACAAGTAAGAGAAATAAACAGTGGAAAGGCAAATAGAAGAATTTTATATTTTTCAGATTACATAACTGCATAGCAAGAGAACTAGAAAGAACTCATAGCGACTTTTAATAAAAACAGAAATTAAACATTTAACCTACAAATATCAATATATATCTGTAAAATCATCAAAATCCGGTTGGAATATACATAAAATAAACCCATCCTCAAGTAAAATTCTTAAGAGTGATATTTATGATCTTTGTAAGGAAAACTGCAATCCTTATTAAGGGATACAAATGGAGACCTAAATAAACGGGGAAAGCATCGTGTCCTCTCATGAGAAGATGAAATAGAAGGAGCTTGATTTTTTTTTCAAATTAACTTATAGGTTTGGTGCAATTCCAATTAAGACTTTAGTCTTGGTGGCCTTAAGAATAATAATAACCTTTATAGGGGTAAAAAAAGCATAAAAGATTTTATCTGATAATAAAATACATCACATAATAAAGCACATTACTATCAGATAATTAAGTACATTACTACGGTTTAAAACAATGCCTCTGACTAATCTTCCCTGCTGTGCGCGGGCCCACCTCCCCTTAACCCCCCCATAGTAATAGGAAACCAAGTTCTCTAAGACTTCTTGGTCATCCTGGAGCTGGGTCTTGGCAGGTGTGGATTTCTTCCCCTCCTTTTTCTTTTTCCCTGTGGTCTGCCACCTGGTGGCCTGAATCAGTAACTCGGTTTTCAAGGCTGAAGGACACCTAGGGCTGGCTTTCATTATTCCTTTATACTTTTTCTGGTTAGCCAAGGAATTAGAGGTGAGCGCCTGGGTCAAAGGGCACTAAATGACATCTTCCAGTCTTACTTGAAAGTACTCCTATTTGAAATGACATGGTGCTTGAGATTTGTAAAAATGTTAATAACTGTTGAAGCATGGGGCTTCTTTTGTGTATATTTGTAAATCTGTACAATAAAAGGTTAAAAATAGAAACAAAGCAAAGAATCACTGCTCCCACAAATATAAATGGCTGGTGAATATATGAAAGAATCCACAGTCTCATTAACAATAAACATAGGCAAATTAAAACAAGTAAATGAGTCACCTGGGCGGCTTAGTCAGTTATGTCTGCCTTGGGCTCAGGTCATGATCATACCAGTCCTGGCATCGGAGCCCTGCGTTTGGCTTCCTGCTCAGCAGGGAGCCTGCGTCTCCGTCTCCCTCTGCCATTCCCTATGCTTGAGCTCACTTGCTCACTCTTTTTCTATCTCAAATAAATTTTTTAAAAAAAGTAAATATTTTTTAGTTTTCAGATTAAAAAAAAAATCACCAAAACACCAATACTTTTTTAGTATTGAAAAGGTGTGGGTAAATAAAAACATCTTTTGACAGGAGTATCAGTTGGTATTGCCTTTTGCAGGGCAATTTGGTAATATGGAGGGAAAATTTTAATGTTGCACAAATGTTTCATATCCTTACACCTGGAATTCCACTTCTCTTTTCTGAAACTACTCAGGCAAGAATGCAGAAATACATGTCCACTAATGTTTATTGTAGCATTGTTTATAAGAGCAAAATACTGGACATGAACATAGACAAAATATAGAGATATCCCTATATAATGGGATACTATGCATTCATGTAAAAGAACAATCCCTTTGTATTGATATTGAATGATACCCTTGGAAAAATGAAGTAAAAACTGTGTATAAATGGGAATGGTCTCATTTTGGCTGAAGAAGACAGTAATACATGTTAACATGTGCATTTAAAAAATCTGGAGGCCAGGGGTGCCTGGGTGGCTCAGTGAGTTAAAGCCTCTGCCTTCGGCTCAGGTCATGATCCCAGGGTCCTGGAATTGAGCCCCACATCGGGCTCTCTACTCAGCAGGGAGCCTGCTTCCCTCTCTTTCTGTCTGTGCCTGCCTCTCTGCTTATTTGTGATATCTGTCAAATAAATAAATAAAATCTTTAAAAAAAATCTGGAGGCCAATAACCCCACAATTACAATGGTTTTCTTTAGGTGGTAGGAAAACATAGGAGACTTTCACTTTCTTCATTGTATAATTCTGTAATGTTTGAGGGGTTTTCAATGCACATATATTACTTTTCCAACCGAAAAAGCAATCAAGATAATATTAAAAAAAAAATTTTTTTTTAAGATTTTATCTATTTATTTGACAGAGATCACAGGTAGGCAGAGAGGCAGGCAGAGAGAGAGGGGAAGCAGGCTCCCCACTGAGCAGAGAGCCTGATGCAGGGCTCAATCCCAGGACCCTGAGATCACGACCTGAGCCAAAGGCAGAGGCTTAACCCACTGAGCCACCCAGGCGCCCCGATAAAATTTTTAAATGAATAAATAAAAGAGCGTTTCCCTGCCATCTTTAAGAAATGTTCCATTATTAAGCTGATTCCCTCCTGTCTCCCAAACCAGCACGGTTGCCAGATAGGATGGTGCTATCTATTCTGAAGGTGAAAGAGGCATTTATTATCCTTTTTGTTTAAGAATCTTGATCTCAGTGTGCTGGGCTCCAAAGATGACTCTCAAAATTCACTTTACTGTTTCTCCCAGAATATTCTAAAAGGTAATAAAGCAAAGAGGATGCTCAGTGGCTTCCTTATGACGAGAAGACTAAACAACCAAGTTTACCAAATCTGAAGTAGGGGCTTCTACAGTGGTGCACAAGATGACCCACTGGCACTCAGGGAAAACATGTTAGAATTTCAACCTACATATTTTTATCTCGCCCTTCGTTAATTTCAATTTTTTTTCAGGTTTTGTTTTTAAAATTCTCTATTATACAACTGTGTATATTATACAATTGTGTATACATGTATATATCATACATATTTGTACATATATGTAGTTCATTGGTAAATATATATTTACATATTAAGGGGAGTATTTGAAAATTTTTTACTGGTCAAAAAAATTTAGAGGCCATTAACCTAGGCTGCAGCTCCTTTTAGGAGAACAAAAACCAGATATAAGGCATATATAAACATGTTCTATAAATTAGTTACCCTCCTCAAAGTCAGTAACAGAAGAAAACAAAACAGAGAAATAGGTGAGTAAATACATGGGCGACAAATGTAAGAGTCAGCTTAGTAGATAATAAAAGGTAGAAGGAAAGAGAAGGGAAGAGAGATAGGAAAATTATTTACACACATACAAGTAAAACAGTGGAGAAAAACTCCCATTATAAATAAAGAAAGGGAGGTAAAATAAAAAGAAGAAATGCCACAAAAAGACCCTGAACACTTAGCGATGAAATGAAAATAAGCCATCTGTCATGCACTTGGAATTTAGAATGTACCAGATCCAGAGCTCTTTATTCTGAGTATTGAGCACAGTGGTTGGCACACAGTATGCACTCCATAAGTACCCCTATAATTTTTATGTTGAAATCCTAACCCCTAATGCGATGGTGGGTCTTTGGTAGGTGATTAGGTCATGAGGATGAAACCTCCTGAATGAGATTAGCATCTTATAAAAGGGATCCCAAGAGAGCTCCCTTGTGCCTTAGGCCTGAGAGTACAGCGAGAAGATTGCTATCTATGAACTAGGAAGTGTGCTCTGGCCAAAGACACCAAATCTGCTGGATTGCCCAGCCTCCGGACCTATGAGAGATAAATTTCTGTTGTTTCTTTTTCTTTTCTCTTTTCTTTTCTTTTCTTTTCTTTTCTATTCTTTCCTTCCTTCCTTTCCTTCCTTCCTTCCTTCCTTCCTTCCTTCCTTCCTTCCTTTCTTTCATTTCTGTTGTTTCCAAGCCACCTAGTCTTCCGTGTTCTGTCATAGCAGCCTGAGCTAAGACATTAGATAACATTAAAAAGAATCATGCAGAAATATTTTCATTAATAAGGAAAATATTCTGTGGTGCATTATAAAGTGAAAGTTGGAAGGTGCCTTGTTGCTTAAGTAGCAAGTACAGGGAAGTATAAGCCCTGACTTTGCTCTGAACCTGGGCAAGAAGCTTGACCTGAAAAAGTATTGGTTTTCCCACCTGTTGTGGGTTGAGTTGTGTTCTCCCCAAATTCATATGTTGAAGTCCTAACCCCCTACATAAGAATTTTACTGTATTTGGAGATAGGGCCTTTTAATGGGAGTAATTAGGTTAAAACAAGAACATTGCTGGAGGGGCCCTAATCCAGTGTGACTCTGGAGGGAAGGAAAAATCTCTTCCTCTACCCTCTCAGGTTTAGTAGCTGGGGCCTGAGAATTAAACTGACTAAAGAATAACAGGAGAGAGTAACAGGGTAAGAAAAACACTTTAAGTATTAATAAAATTGTATGAGCATGGGAGCTTCACAGAAAAGAAGTGAAAAAAGTCAAAGGGCAGACAGACTTGGGGGCTTAGATACCTTTAAAACAAAGGGTGATAAATTGTGGAGAAGTGACTAGACAAGGGAAAGGGTATTTGGGCTTCTTGAGTACATTAATTGTGTAAAAGTGAATAGGAAATATGTGTGGAGGGACAAAGATCATTCAGTGTAAGGTAAGGGTTATTTTAGTAAAGTCTGTTTATGCAAACTCATCTCATCATTGACTCCTTGTCTGCAGTAATAAGAGTGCTCTCCTCCCCTCTCCTCTTCCTGGTACTCTCCCAGGGAAAGTCTCTTCTCATGGGAAATTTATGCCCTGCTTTGATGCAGATGGTGAGAGAGCAGAGAATTCTCAGTTGCCTTCATTTTAGCTCAACATAATCAATATTCTGAAAGTGGCATATTTCGGGATATCATATTCTGACTCCCCTTCAACTGATGTCCTTATAAGAAGAGGAAATTTAGATGCAGATGGGCAAAGAGGAAAGACCATGTGGACACAATGAGAAGGCAGCATCTAGGAGCCAAGGAGAAAGGCCTTAGAAGAAACCAACCCTGCTGACACCTTGATTTCAGACTTCCAGTCTTCAGAACTGTGAGAAAATAGGAATCTCTCATTTAAGCAACCTAGTCTGTGGTACTTTGTTGCAGCAACCTAGCAGTCCTATAAGATGGAGAAAATCTTAATACCATCTTTATTTAGCTTTCAAGGTTGGACTGAATCAAACAGATGTAAATACCTTTGTAAACTACAAAGCATTACACAAATGTGAGCAGCTGTTACTCACATGGTCCCTGAAAAACCTGGAGGAATGCAGTCATCCTGTTAAGACTGGACTTTACAGGGGTGCCTGGGTGGCTCAGTCAGTTGAGCATCTGACTTTCGGTTTCAGCTCAGGTCATGATCTTGGGGTCGTAGGATTGAGTCCCATGTCGGATTCCACTCTCAGCACAGAGTCTGCTTGAAAGTCTCTCTCCCCCTCTGCGCTTCTCCCTGCTTGCGTGCACCCTTTCTCCCTCATAAGTAAATACATCTTTAAAAAGAGGAAGACTGGACTTTATAACCCTTTTGTAAGGCAGAGGCTCAGTTCCCACACCGAGGATGGAAAGAAGCAGATTTCAGCAGAACTGTCATGAAGAACACAAATGATTTGGCAGTGAAAGGAGAAAGGCAAAAATAAAAAGAATGGTTCCTTGCTCCCATGCTGCAAGTTGTTAAACAAACAAACAAACTAGACTATATATATATAACAGTAATAGCTAATATGTATTGAGCATTTATTAACTACTAAGCATGGTCCCAAGTGCTTTTTTTTTTTCAAAGATTTTATTTATTCACTTGAGAGAGAGAGAGAGAGAGAGAGAGAGAGAGCCTGAGAAGTGGGAGGGTCAGAGGGAGAGGCAGACTCCCTGCCAAGTGGGGAGCCCAATGCAGGACTTGATCCTGGGACTCCAGGATCATGACCTGAGCTGAAGGCCGCTGCTTAACCAACTCAGCCCCCCAAGCGCCCCCCAAGTGCTTTTTATAAGTGTTCTATAATTAAACTCCTGTCAACCCTATGGTAAAAATAATGTAGATATGTTTGTGTGTGTGTGAACAGTGTGTATATATATGTTTATGTGTGTATATGTTACCTATTTTGGTCTCTTGTGTTACAACATATACCTTCAATACAAAAATCTGTTTATATGTAGTAGCTAAAAAGTAATAAAACTGCCAAAATAAGAAGTCATGGTTTTTTAAGAGATGACTAATGTTTCGCACCACTGTGAAATGGGAAAAACACTATCTGATTGAACAAAGTGACCTATGGTAAAATGCATGACACACATTCACATTGTCTTCTCTTACACCAGCATACCCACATGCGTTGCCCTGAGTACATGCATTGTTCTGTTGAGCTTGTGTTATTTCATGATGAACATGTTCAATATATTTTGTTAAAACTGTATGAGTACACTGGGTCTAAGATCCTAAGTAGTGAATACAAAGAAAAGCCTTACATTTTGAGGTGAAAGTTGAAATAATTAAATGTTTTGAAATAAATGAGAAAAATCCAAGGCCTGAGGAAATCCACACTGCCCACATTCAGGAATAATGCTGAGAAAATAAACGAGAGGAGAGCTTGTGTACCCCAGTTATTGTCTGCTTCTAGTGAAATGGATAAGCACTTGGAAGAGACTGAAGAAGACTGATGCCAAGTAATTCCAAGTACAGTTGAACAGCATTTTGTGTCCTCTAGGCTCATTAGAAACCATAAAAAGCAACTTTTTTGGGGTAAATTTTATCATCATTAAAGATTTTATTTATTTATTTGACATAGAGAGAGAGAGATCACAAGTAGGCAGAGCAGCAGGCAGAGTCGGCAGGGGCGGGGGAAAGCAGGCTCCCTACCGAGGAGAGAGCCCGATGTGGGACCCAATCCCAGGACCCTGAGACCATAACCTGAGCTGAAGGCAGAGGCTTTAACCCACTGAGCCACGCAGGTGCCCCCAAGCAACTTCTTTATAAAAAGAGGAAACTGGCAGAACAAAGATGGGATTTCTATTTTAAGCTGACTTAGGAAAAAGAAAGACAGAATAAGAAACTACAGAAATCCACCTCTGGTGTCACAATAGGTAGCCTAAGAATGATGATGTTCTTCTTTCCTTTTACCTCTACTCAGTAATTCAAAAACCACAACACTTTACCACACCCATTTCCAGCAAGTGGTGTTTGGAGCATAGCTATCCACTAAGGAAAATAATTAACTTATAATCTCCCATTTAAAGTCTACATGGATAATACAAAACCTCCATATAATAAAAGGCACAATGAACTAAATCAAAAGAAAAATGACAAGCATGTCACTGCAACATGTGTCAAAGGGTTAAAATTCTTATAATAATGTATAAAAAGCTCTTATATATCAATAAAAAAAGAACATCCCAATAAAAAAAATGGTCAAAAGATATAGAAAACTAACCCAGGAACAAACACAAAGGTTAACCCATGTCAAATAATGCTCCATTTCAAATTTAAAAAGGAAACTAAAACTATGTTTTATTTTTAACCTAGTAGATTGGCAAAGACATTTTTCAAAAAGATTTTTTAAATAAATTCAGTAATTTTCCATTTGGGAATTTATTCAAAGGAAATAATGAGACTTGGGTTCAAAAATGTATGTGAAGTATGTTCATTGCAGAACTCTTTGAGTTTTAAAAACTGAAGTAATTTAATCTAGCAGTTGGAAGATTAGTCGAATAAATCAAGACATCTATACTTTCATTTAGGAATTCTGCAGGAATCTACCCCCTAGAATAGTCCATAAAATCAACAGCTCTTAGTGACACAAAGATGTTTATTTCAGCAGTTTGTAAGGAAAAAATGGTAGAGTACACCCACATCACAAAGGGAGAAAAAGACTGCACATTAAGCATCACATTTCTGCAATCACTAAGGTATTCTGGGTGTGTGTATATATATATACACAAAGTAAAAATAGACTAATTGGTAGTTTATAGAATACTACACAGTTGCAAAAAAAGGAGCTCTATATTTTCAGACGAAAAATTGACCTCGCAGTGAAAAAAGTTCTGTGACTACACATATAATATTATCTCATTTATATAAATATATTGCTAAAAAGAAAACCACAGGCCTAAAATGGTGTCACTTGGTTAAGGCCCTGAACCAGTAAACCAAGACTTAAAAAAACCCAACCTGTCATTTTGGCCTAGAAATGTAACCTCTAACCAGTCAACATGGGATTTTCTCGGTCAGCATTAGGAAACTTACTGATACACCCTTTTCGTCCCCCTCAGGAGGGTGACCTTGCCTCAAACAATGGATTCTTTGCGAACAATTTCCTTTTCCCCACACCTTTAAAGTCTTTAAAAACCTTTCCTTTTCTGGCCCTTTGGGGCTCTCCTCTACTTGCCAGATGGGATGCTGCCTCATTCATAAATTGATACAGTTAATTGGATCTTGAAAACTTACTGTAACAACATATAAGGCTGTTGAAAGAGATTTGGGGACACCGAAGACCTTGGCAATGACCTCTGAAGACCCACTCCACAGTGGGCCCTAATTTAAAAATTTGAGTTAGTGCTGTCTGACGTAAGATTTGGGTTACATAAAATGTAAACATTTATTTAAATGAACATTGAATTCGATTTTGCCCTTGAAAATCTCCTAATTCTAGTTTTTTCTATCTACCCATGAAAGGTTAAAGACCCGCCTGGAACTATGAGATAGAGAGCCGATCAGCAAAGCTCGGCTTTTTATTTTCAAACAACCCTTTTATTGCAAAAGTTATTGGGCCAGTGGGTTTGAAGATGGTTGGCACTGAAGTGGAGGGTATACAACGGCGAACCAAAGCTCTTGAAGCCCTTAGAGAAGTAAGACCCGTCACCCCGCGTACCTCACTGCGCCATTTCCTGCCTCGCACGCACTGCTCGGAAGAAGAAACGTCGAGTCCTGCTAGGGCCTCCAGCCAATGGCTACACTTTTGCTCTCAGCCCTAGCAACTCCGGGCCAATGGGCGGAAGGCTATCTTTTGATTAGGTACGGTCCTTTTCCAGCCAATCGGAAACGTTCTTCAAATGCGCCTCTCTGAGATCGCAGGCTCCAGCCAAGCAGGCTTCTCTTCCGGGAGGCTGTCCTGGGCGGCTGCGCGTGTTGCCATAGCGACCATTTTACGTTACTGGTTTGTAGGTTTCGTCCCGGTACCAGGGCGACTGCGGGGACCACTCTTTCTTCTCCCATTCTTTCTCGGCCTCCTACGGTCCAAGGGCCTTACGCAGGCTCTGGGAGTCCGGCCTAGGGTTCCGCGGCGCCCCGCGGAGCGGGATGGCTGCGGAAGAAGAGGATGAGGTGGAATGGGTGGTGGAGAGCATCGCTGGGTTCCTGCGAGGCCCGGACTGGTCCATCCCCATCTTGGACTTTGTGGAGCAGAAATGTGAAGGTAAAAACCAGATCCCGAACCGACCATTCTTTCTCTCTTCTCTCTCGCCAGCGATCGGCAGAAGGTGGTCACCACGAACCATCTCTTATCTCTCAGGTCTTATGCCTGTCCGCCAGGTTCAGAGCTGGTTTGTTGGAGGTATTGCTGTCACTGCGTCAGTATCTTCCTTCATGGAACTGAAGACAGGGACTCCCCCTTCTTTGGGCCCAAGCACACATCCGAAAATCATTAGATTTCAATCCTATGTTGGGTCTCTCACCTTATCCTGCACGTTTCTTCCTTGGGCAGGTGCCCTGTTTGGGTGGGCTTCAACAATTTCCGCAGAGACTGGGGAAGAGAGATAGGAGTTTGCCTAGTGTTCCTTCCTGATCTAACAGTTAACCGCAAAGGGAGCGCACGCTGTTACTCCAGCAGGCCCAGAGCTGGCGACCCAGTGGCATGTTTGCCTTTACTGAGCTCTCGGACTCTCGGATATACCAAAAATGGGGAGCGGGGATGGGGTATCTTGTAACAACTAAGGTATATAAAGGTGGCCTAATATTCCCTGTGAGGGCAAAGGACCTCCGGGTCCTGATCATTCACGCTTAGATTCTGCGTTCAGTTCTCCGAGACAAACTGGAGCCCAGGTATGGAAAAGGAGCTAGAAACCATGCCATATGAATGAATGCCCAACTGATACCATGGGTGTTTAGCAGGCAGGACTTGTAGGGTAGTAATATCCATCAATCATTTGAACATCTGCCTTATGTTGGAGGGTTTAGACTTGTAAGCTTCAGTGGCATAGAGCTAGGGTTAATGCGTACAAGCCACAGACAAATTTCTATGAAGGAAGTGTGCCATAGCAGAATGTATCCCAGTTAAGTTAGCCTATCTCAGAAGGTAATGAGTTCCCCAGAGGGTAGCAGTGTTTAAATGGCTTTGACAGCAACTTAATGGAGATAACCATCAAATGGTTGGTTATCCTGGATGAGCTTTTTTTTTTTTTTCCTGGATGAGCTTTAGAGAGTCCTTTCAACCCTAAGGGTCCATGAATTTGGTAAAGATAAACTTTAGTTTGACCACTGAATCTTTTCATTACCATAATCAAAATTATGCCATAATAAAAATCCAGATAGTATTTAAGTATTGTTTTTATGTGTAATTTCTAAAGAAGTTTAAAATAATTTTTATTTGTGATCTTTTTAAGAATTTAAAATTCTGAGACGGATGAAGCATGTGGAATTCTGACCTCCTTTGGGAGAAAAAAAGAATTATGTCACCCTTTCATTCTATTTACCCCTATGACACTAAATGCTAAAATGAAAAAAAAAAAAAATTAAAGCAGTGCTCTTTTTATCCCCAAATGTCAAAAGTGGTTGCATCTCAGTAGTAATACATCTGACTGTGTAATTTCACAGGGAAGCAGTAATCCTCAACTTTATACACATGTAATGTAGTAATTTGATTTTAGAACTAACTAGAAACAGTTTAAATTACTGCTGTATTGTGTGTATGCCCAGTGTTACACAGAGCAGATGCCAGTAGAGGTGGAAGTAACATCCCATTGTCACTTGAAATAAGTGTTAATACTAAAGTGACTTTAGGTTGTTAGTGTGCTAGTCTTTAAAGATTAGTTTTGTACAACCTGTGATATCAGGATTTATTTCAATAAGCATTTATGGAGTGTATGTGGGCCAGAAGCTGGGGATAGAAATAAGAATGTAACAAAATCCTATGGCTGAGAAGTTTATGATTTAGTGTGGAAGACAGGCAGGTAAATGGAATTTAAATCTGAATTGGCAGGTGTTATAATAAAGGAGGGCATGTGGCTCTATTTTGAGTTCAGAGGAAGGGATCTAACCAGCCCAAGAGTTGAAAGTGGGTGGCAGGTCTTAGAGAATGTGCTGTTTGCAATGTCTTGAAGAATAGTTGGGAGAAGAGGACTGGGTAAAGACAGAAAACTCTAGGAACACCTGAGCAAATGTACAGGAGTTTGAAGCACAGTGTGTGTTATGTATGGTGATATTCCAAGTACTGATGTATGTTAAGAGTGCAAAGTTTGGGTTTTGGATGACAGGAGATGAGACTTGGAAGTTTAGTCTGGCCTTCTAAGGATTTTGCATTTATTACTTAGTCAAAGAACAGTCATTGAAGAGCTTTAAGTAGAAAATTAAAGAAGTTAGTTTTGCATTTTGGATCATTTAGGGGGAATTTTAAAAAGTTTATTGTTAACAATTCATGAATTTGGCCTGTTTCCCTAATTAATTGTCATTTCTTGATGGAATATGTATCTTTCTAATCCACATTGTTTCATACATATGATCATTGAGTAAACATTTGTTTTGGTTTTATTTATTTTAATTTCATTACTGATTTATATAGAGCAAAAATGGCCTAGTCACTTACAGTAAAATTTATATCAGCAAATTATGATAACATAATCCAGAGCCTGTTGTAAAAGGAATTAATGTTTAAAAACTATTAATAATATTACTTATTAATATTAATAATATTAATAATTAAAAGTTTATAAATTGTTGCCTTTTATTATTGAAAGGAGCAAATTAGTGTTTGTCTTACATATGAAATAGATTTTACATATGAAACTATAAAGAAACATGAAACTTGTTTACAGTTAACACTGTTATATGCTATATATATAACATATTATTACAAATATACATATATGTATATATTGTGTATATATATGCACATATAGTTTTTTTAATTCAAGAATTCAAAGCTGAAGAGCTAGGTTATAAGAATGAGAATTCTATTGTAAGATGTAAGGAGTGCACTTTTATATTTGCATTAATGATTTGTTTTTGTACACTATACAGTAATATTTTTCTTTTAAATTTAGTTTTTGATGATGAAGAAGAAAGCAAATTGACCTATACAGAGATTCATCAGGAATACAAAGAACTAGTGAGTATTTTCTCCATTGATTATTAAAGGTAATTAAAATAATTTTAGCTTTTCTAAATTAAAAACATGGACTTTTTCCATTTTAAAATTCTTTAATTAAAAAAATCCATTCTTGGTACACCTGGCTGGCTCTGCTATAGAGCATGTGACTCTTAACCTTGGGATTGTGAATTCAAGCCCCATATTGGAAATAGAGCCTCCTTTAAAAAAAAAATAAATAAATAAAAAATCCAATCTACCCTAATAGTACTACTAGTTCCATCAGGCCCTAAGCCTTCTCTGAGCATTTCATCTTTTGTACTTCTTATCTCTTCTACTCTAGAATCTAAGAAATGAATTTAGGACAACTATTTGAAGGGATCTTGCATCTAATCTTTAAATTTTATTCTTAATCTTCTGCTGATGCATCTAGAGAAGTGTTAGTTATTAATTTGCCATGGTGTCTTGTGATTTTTAAAAATGCCTCTGAGTAGCAGAAGAGTTGTACCCCATTGACTGTCATGACCCTGACCAGTAATTTCAAGTAGAGGAAATAAAATTTCATTTGATTCTCTGCAAAAATTTTAACTTTCCATTGTTTGTGGGTTTTTTGGTGAAAGACATTGTCATTGCCATATAGTATAATTTTATGTAGATTAATAATTGCAAGCAAACATTTGATTATCCTTTTTAAACTCAACACTTAACATGAAAACTGTCATTTGGAATTTTTCTATGTAAATTGGAAAAGTTACACTTTCTCTTTTTAGGTTGAAAAGCTGTTAGAAAGTTATCTCAAAGAAATTGGAATTAATGAAGATCAATTTCAAGAAGCATGCACTTCTCCTCTTGCAAAGACCCGTACATCACAGGTTCTGCTTTTGTGTCATTCTGCTAACATATAGTTTTAATAAAAATGCCCAGCATTTCACTTAAATTTGCTATATTTGTTTGTCGAAGGATACTATTTTAGACATTGTATGAGTAAAAAGCTAATTCATCACATATGGGTTCTTTTTTATAATTACCTTAAGAAATGATCATTTGTGGGGCGCCTGGGTGGGTCAGTTGGTTAAGCGTTCCATTCTTGATTTCAGCTTTTGTCATGATCTCAGGGTCATGGGATCAAGCCCTGTGTGGGGCTCCCTGCTGGGCCTGAAGCCTGCTTGGAATTCTTTCTCCTGCTCCCTTTGCCCCTCCCTCTCCCCTCTCTCTCTGTCTCTTAAAAAAAAAAATAATAATAATTTGAGATATTAATGAACTAATGCAGTTAATGCAGTTAAAAAGGAACTTTTCGATTGCAGAACTATGATAGATCACAGTTTTTATTTATATACACTGTTCTATTGTTTTATTTATATATTACTGTTTTATTTATATAGATCTCTGACAGTTTATCAGTTGCCTCTTTTTTAATCTTAGCAGTTTTATAGTGCATAGTTCCTGGGGCTTCCTTCTCTTGGAGCTATTTTTATTTTTAAAATTGTGTAGATTTTGTAGAGATCTAATTATTTATTTATTTTGAGGGAGAGAGAGAGAGGAAGAGAGAAGAAGAAAGAGAGAGAGAATACAGGGGCCAGGGGCAGAGGGAGGGGGAGAGAGAATCCCAAGTAGACTTTGTGTTGAGCACGGAGCCAGACATGGGCCTCCATCTCATAACCCATGACCTGAAGCAAAACCAAGAGTCTGAAAGTTAACTGACCTACCTGGGCACCCCTGGAAC